TATCAGAAACGGGAAATTCGTGCACAGTTAGTTGGAATATTTATAGGATACCGCACACTTGTGACAATTAACTAATCTGTCGTGACTAACCCGCGTCGAAGCAAACTTTCTCAAAGCTCACGGCGACTGTTCTCGATTTCTGGGAACAGCCAATCACAGATGTCGCAAAGCTGGCTCCTGGCCGGGCAACGAATCACACGCCTGCACGCATAGGCAGACCCAGTCAATGACCGCTGGCATGCCTGCTACTAAACCGGGACTTGGGACCCGGCTGACTTCCTGGCTGGTCGTGCGCTCCGAAGTCAAACTTCTTCCTGCATATTCTCCGTTCCTCTGTATGCAGAATAAACTATTTCTCCTATTATGGCCCCCACCGACTTCTTATCCCTTTAGAAACCATGGTCTGAAGATCGCAGTTGCAAGGGTTTAACTTACTTAACCCCCTGCGATAAATCCCCTATAGAGGATAATTGCCCGCTTGTGCGTTAATTGCTTGATGACTCGGACATGTCCAAATCCTGCATCTTTAGCTCAGGACCTAATTACAGATTTAAAGGGATAATCCACGAGCAGGTGAAGGGGACACCAATGGGTTCACTGATCTCGGGATTCATAGCCGAGGCAGTCTTACAACGGTTACAGTCGCTGGTCGTCCAACACCACAGACCGAAATTCGGGCATGGTATGTGGATGATAACTTCGTCGTCATCAAACGGGATCAGAATCTCATTCTTAACAAACGTCTCAACAGTGTTTTCCCGGGCATACAACTTACAATGGAAGAGGAAAAAAATAACCAGCTGTCCGTCCGTGAAGCTCTCGTCTGCCGCAAAGATTGTAGTAGATTAAGGACCAAAGTGTGCAGGAGGGCGATAAACATGATGCAAGTACTGAGCTTCAAAAGCAACCACCCAGCCAGCCACGAACGCAGTTGTTTAAGAATGTTTTATCGGCCTTTTGAGACGCACTACAGTGAACCAGAAGACAAAGATACCGAAATATAATATCTTCGACGGGTATATAGAGAAAATGGCTACCTGCGCAACTCCGTCCACATGCGCATGCGGAAAAGAAATGGACAACAAAATCGCACCGGCCTCAAATTATGGCGAGCGATCCCGTTCGTCAAAAACGTCCCGTAGGCCGTCGGCCGCCTTCTCGCACCACTTAGAGTGGGAGTCGCACACCGGCCGGACGCAACCGTAAGGCGTCAGATAATGAAACCAAAAGGCCCACTGCCATGACAAGAAACATCTGGGGTCTTCTATAGGGTCTAGTGCAACTGCGAACAAAGCAAATACGTCGGAAAAATTGCAAGAATTCTCAAGACGCGAATTACCGAACACGCGGAAGCAGTGCGGAGAAATGACGCCAATTCTCAAGCTACGGCTCATTCGACGGGACCCAGCCACACATTCAAATTTTATAAGGCCGAAATTCTCGCGAGAGGTGACAATCGTGCAAGTCGTAAGTTGCTTGGGTCACTGGCCCCAGTCTATAACCTATAGAAATCTGCCACCCTGTGCAGCTGCGCTGATTCACGCTGCCTTAGTTTGCCAAGCCTCGCTTGCTGCGCACCATTGTCCTTTCGCGTGCTCGCTATACACTCGAAGCTAATCGATAATTCCGCCTCATCTGATTAGCCGCAGTCGACAGGACGCTCATCGGGCAGGCGAAGCCACACAACTTCGCGGACACAGCTAGCGTACAGACGCGGCTGGCAACTAGCTTATAACACGGCATTTGTATCGTTTATTTTCCGGCAGTCAGTCTCTCCCTATCAACACCGTCTTCCCTGACTTGTGATTTTGGGTTTCTTCGCTTGTCGACGCTACAACCTGCGACACAACGACCTACCAAATTCATGTTTGGTGTTGAGGCTCAATTTGGCCAAAGTCAATCGCCACTTGGGGAACGCACGTGCCAACGCGTCGTCCAACGCAAGCGCCGGATAGACAGCTGGCCGAGCAATCAGCATGTCCAATTCCACCAAGTGTGATGAAAGTTCAGAAGGTCACGACCCACACGCCTGCTATCAAACGATTAGCGCACAGAGTGCATAAAATGGCGTCATCTGCTTGAATCTACTCATTGTGATATACACAGACACACAAACCCCCCTTTCAGTACATACTGGTTCTATCTATACTACTTGCATCACCTGCTTGCCAGAGGTTAAGTTTACTGAGTTAGGCACAACATCACTCAGGCAGTGGACGATGTCTTTCGTCTTTATTACAGCGGTGGTTACGTTGTGCTTTTTCTACACTAAAAGGCGAAAAAGGGCTCATAGCATAGAAACCTCTCTCTCCGCATTTTTGGCACACGGCCGAATGGTACCATTCTCGTGAAATGGTAAGCGAAATTCTGAAAAGTTTTCCGATTGGAACGAGTCGCTTAGATGGAGTTGTAGCATTGATGATTCCGCAGCCTATCCGAAGATATTTCAGTCAAACCAAAATGCGTGACTTTGAATGCACTGTTTTTCAGCTGCATGCGAAAACCATATTCATTAAAAGGAGGGCTACCTTCTTGATACGAACCTTTCTTATTGGTTTTCGATATCCTTATAGATGGAAATATATTCCATAGAAAACCTTAAAAATATCACGTCTTTTACTACCTTGATAGAAAATCATAACTCCAAATTCTATACCCGAAGAAATTTTTTTATTTAGTCTTAAAAGAATATTTCAATTCTTGGGGGGGGGTGGGAGTGGGCAGCAAAGTTGAATGATTTAATCGAATCAATTGTGAAAAAACTCGCGGCCTCGGTGGGATTCGAACCCGCGTCAACAAGGCAAGACTGTAGTGCAG